GGGGCAAGAGACACCCGTAATGAAGGTCCGTGCTGTCCCCTCAACGACATTGCTTACGAAAAATGAGAAGGACTTGAATTGATTGCTGTAGAAAGTCAAAGACTACAGCTTACAATAAAGATTGCATTTCAACATAAAAAAAAAAAAAGATTCTCACTACCAGACCAATTAGCAGCAGTATAATGATAGAGAAAAGATTCAAGTTATTAACAATTTCATTTTGCTCAGATTCATAATCAACACTCAGCAGTCAGGAAATCAAAAGCTTTGGGGAAATCAGCCATCAAACACCTCTCCAGAGAGAGCTGGATAATGAATAAGACTTACAGAGGAATTGAGACTTTTGAGTGGTGGTGCTGGAGCAGAGTACTGAATATACTTTTCCAATATACTTTTCTTTTTTATTCTTTTTTTTCCCCAAGAGAACAAACAAGCCAGTCCTGAAGAGGGTAAAACCAAGTTGTTCCTTGGAGGCAAAGATTTTAAAGCTCCAACTCATACATACTTTGGGCATGTTGCCAGGAGGGACTAGTCCTTAAGAGAAGGAACTCATACTTGGAAGGGTAGACAGTCTGCACAGGAGAGGAAAACCTAGGATGAGATGGAATGACACAGTGACTGTGGCAATGGGGTCAGGTGTGTGAGAGATTGTGAGGTTGGTTCAAGATAGGTCATGGTTCAGAGCTACTGTTCATAGGGTTGCTATGAGTCTTAGCAGAATCAACAGCACATAACAATATATTACCAAAGAATATGGCTAGATGATTGATCCTGAACTTCTCCTGTGGAGCTCTCCATCATCACTTATTTTCCCAGGGATATGAATGTCTATTTTACACAGTTCTTAACAATTAAAGAGAACTGAGACCTTAATTGTGGAGGTGAGACAAAAATGCTCTGATACGATCACTGCTGAATATTTTAAAGGGGATTACAGCAAAAGGTCCTAGACTAAGATGAAAATGGGGACAGGAGGAGGGGAGAAGAAAATATAAAAATGACCTGGCCTGCTGATCTAAAACCAAGCACTGCAGTACTTATAACCCTTGGAGCTTAGAAGTAAACTCACTTCAGGGGCTCAGCCTTCATCCAAACAATAGACACGCAAAGAAATTTAAATGATAGTACTGGAGAAGCACTTCCTCCTTAGAACAAGCAATCATGCAAGAAGCAAAGGGCAGAATTTGCCTAGGGAGAAAGCTCAAGGAGGATGAAGAGAAAGAATAAAAAGATAAATTGAAAAGAATCATCATGTGGAGGAGGGGGAAAGGTGCTATTAATTAATATATACAAATGATTGAATGGTAAGAGCAATCTGTTCAGTAAACCTTCACGCAAAGCACAATAATTTTTTTTTAATGCCCTGATGCCGAAACAGGCATCAAAACATCTCTTGACCATATCTGATAATTGAGCATCCTTGTGTATGTTGTTCTAGGAGATTAGAACACATATTTTGTTTTAGAAGAATTTCAGTAAGATCCTAGAATTAAAATACCAGGACAAGATTAAAATAGTATAATGTTCTTGATCAGCAAATCGTATTCCTGTTGTTGTTGTGTACAGTCGATTTGGAACTACCCACAGCTGACTCTCCAGTGGGTCTTCAGGGGCAGTTAATCACAGAGAATGAGACTTCCCATCCTTCTTCTGCAGAGAAGCTGGTGGAATCAAACCCCATGCATTCAGCATCTCAGCACAGATAGGCCCCCAGAACTCTGAGAGTCTAAAAACTAATGTTTTTCCCTTTAGGTTACTGAGCATATTGTGTTAACAATTCTCACAGTAATTATTAGCTAAATGATATCGATAATGTTGGTGATTCTATTTAATATCACACTAATTTAAGTATCAGCAAGTATTAATGAGTAATGTTGTTGTTGTTGTTATGTGCTATCAAGTCACCCATGACTCGTAGCGGCCCTATAAGCCCTTCTCTATCCCTTGCCAATCTTACTGTCTCCGACACGCCTATCTCATTAACCCCATGACTGAATAAATTCATCTCTTCAAGGGTGTTCCTATCCTGCACTGTCCCTCCACCCTCACAAGCATAACGTCCCTTTCCAAGGACTGATCCCGCCCTGTAACATGACCAAAGTATGTCAAACAAAGCTTCAGAATCCTTGTCTCCAAGGAGCAGCCTGACTTCACCCTCTCCAGGACAAACTTGTTTGTTCTCCTAACAGTCCATGGTATATTCAACACTCTTCTCCAGCACTGCAACTCAAAAGCATCAATTCTCCTTCTATCGTCCCTAGTAATTGTCTGCTCTCTGATACATAGCAAGTGATTGCAAAGACTATGGCCTGGATATGGTGCCCCTTGGTCTCCAGACTGACATCGTTGCTCTTCAGTACTTTGGAGAGGTCTCTGACAGCAGACTTTCCCAATGCAATTCGTCTTTTAATTTTCCAGCTGCTGGTACCAAGAGTGTTGATTGTAGAGCCAAGCAAACTGAAGCTGTCAACAATCTCAATCTCTTCATCATCTATCACGATGCTGCCAATCAGCCCAATGAGTGAGAATCTTTGTTTTCTTGATGTTGAGCTTCAATTTATATTGAAGTAATACTTAATGAAATAATTACATGTTACATATAAAAGGTATTGTTCTATGTGCTTCACGTCATTAATTAATTTACTCTTCATGACAACCCCAGAAGGTAGACACTAATGTGAAGAAAGTATAGTTAAAGAAATTTAGGCACAGAGACATTAAACCAGGTCACACAGGTAGTATTAACCTGAAGAGATTAATTTGAACCTGAACATTCCTGCCCTACTGACAATGATCTTCAAGATTATGAAATAAATAAACTCATCTCTAGGAAAGATGCTAATTGCTAATGTAAACACAACAATTAGTGGTAAATGTAGATGTTGCTGGCCTGTAGGCGTTGCTCTTGCCATAAATCCAACCCCACAAAAATAACTTCCTGCCTTGACCCAGGTGATTTCTACTTACTCTTTTTATTTAGCTCAGGCACAATGAGGAGATAGTTTAAAGCAAAAGCGTAACATTTTTTTAACATAAATGAATAATTTCAAAAGCACAGTCTTGTGGGATAATCTGATCAACAAGCATAAGATAAAGGAGCAAAGTCTGCTGGGAGTTGTGCGGCTAACCTTAAGGTGGTATAAGCATGGCGGTTTGAATCTACCAGTACTTAGGAAAACTATGGGCAACCTCTTTCTTTGCAATTTACAGCCTTTGAAATCCTGCTGGAGGACAGGCTGTGAATTTGGGTTGAGCACACTGTGGTTCATAAAATTTATGTTCCATATCTTAGTTTGGTGAGAAGCATTTGAGCTTTAAAGATTTGGCAGAGGGTACCTAAGCTACAACTATTGATCTTCATTTGTCTAGAGCAAAAGAGAAAGAAGGAATCTCAAAAGTCAAAGGAGGAATGTTCTATAATACTGTCTCTATAAGCCACAGCCTCCTCTACCTTGAGACCAGAAGAAGTAGGTATATTGTACCTAACTACCAATATGTCACAGCCTAATCAGTGCCACAGAAGATGGATTCTGACAGAAAAATGTGGACCAGAACTTCCAAATTCTGGACTGACTCCTATCATATTGAAGGAATCCCTCTCACTATTTCCCTGAGATGCTCCTTAAATCTTCAACCAAAACTATCCCCTGATGTAACCTTTTAACTTAAGAGCAGGTTAACTCAAAAAATAAAGAATGCCACTTTTTGAGTACTACATTCTTAAAAAAGAAAATAATTCCTGTATATGAGACCAAACCTTAACAGTTATTCTAACACATGGATATAAAAATAGTTGTATGAGAACTTATTTTGTTGTGTGTGTGTGTGTGTGTTGTTGTTGTTATGTACCATCAAGTCAGAACCGACTCATAGCTGACCCTCCAGTGGATTTTAAGAGGCTGTACGTGGCATTACACATCTTTCTCCCATGGAACAGTTGGAGGATTAAAACTGCTTGCCTTGTAAGGTGGCAATGCAGCTCCTTACCACAAGGCCACCGGAGCTCCCACTGCTGTGTGTACTTTGATCAAACATACAATAAAAACAATGACCTCATATCAAGAATTTCTTAAACAGAAAAATTTTCCATATTATATTAAAGATGGGCAGAAACCGAATCTTTACAACCTAACAAATTAGAATGTCCAGGAATGTGTATTTAAAAGACTCTGCTTAGGTAATTCTAATGCCTTTCTTATGAGTGAAGAGTCTATTTAGTGTGTCTTTATTATAAGCCATCAAGTCACCTACGACTCATAGGGACCCTATGTATATATAAATAAATGCTCAGTTTGACGCCCTACTACATGTTATTGTTGTTGTTAAGTGCTGTTGAGTCATGGAAGACTCATAGTGACCCTATGAATAAAAGACCTGAACACTCGTATAATTTTCATCACTTCTCCAAGTTCATAGAGTTTCCAGAGGCAAGCTATTTACGGAAGTGGATGCTACTCCTGCTTCCAAGCTTGTTTTTTTCGAGGAGCTCCGCCAAACACTGTCCACCATATATGGTAAATCTGAATTGTCACAAAGAGAAAAAGAATTTAAACAATGTCTTATGGAAATGTATCTACCTACTGTAAAATTTCAGTGAAAAAATAGGGCTAACCTAAGCTTCTAACCTAACTCTTAACAGTTTTCGTCTTAATAATTATTTCTGATGTGAAAGAACTTGTCAGTGATTCTGTATTTTCCAAGTATTTCTTGGCAATGTGGAAATGCTCTTCTGCAAAATACACAGATTCCTGAGCCCAACCCATGACCTCCAGGAAGAAAATGTCTGGGGGTGGAGCCCAAGAACGTGTTTTTAATAAGCTCCCCGTGAGATTTCAACATCAAATTCTACACTCCAGCCCTGGATCTCCCACTAGTCAAAGTCAATGACCCTGACTTTGAGCCAAGCACAAAAGTCCTCAACTACTTCATCTGCAACATGAAAGGACCAGCAACCCCTCCCAGCTAGGATGACATGATTTTAACAAAACTTAAAACTTTACCTTCTTGGCAGTGGCGTAAATGTCTTCTCGGTTACTGCAGTCTACGACATAAGTATGGACTTTGGCACCTAGTCTTTTGCATTCTGTAGCTGTTTCTTCAAGACCATGCTAGAAAAAACAAAATACGGGAAAAGAACAAAATAAATTACATTTTCACATTATCAGGCAGCTAAAAATAATCAAGGGAAGTCATATCCTTTGAACATGGCCTGAGCAAGAACTTAACACATTCATGTTTTATATACACTTTACAGCACTTCCTCTAGCCTTCTCTATTTTGGAACTCAGTTTAAAACCATTTTAAGAAATGAATTAAAAAAAAAAAAAGAAATTAATTTTTAAAGAAAATTTTGATTGTGATTTTAATGAATGTTTACAGAGAAGTTAAGAGATTTCATTCATTCGTTGTTGCATATTTTACTCCCTCTTCCTCTCATTTTCAGAAAGCCTTAAAGCACTAGTTTTACCTGTTTTGTGAATGACTATGTATGTGCGCATTCTTTAGTTGTTGTTATGTGCCGTTGAATCACTTGTGACTCACAGAGACCCTATGTACAACAGACCTAAACTCTGCTCTGTCCTGTGCCAATTGCACTGTCTCCGATACACCCATCCCGATTATCCCAGTCACTGAATCAATCCACCTCATAGAGGGCATTCCCCTCCTGTGCCGTCCCTCCACCCTCCCAAGCATGATGTCCCTTTCCAAGGACCAGTCCCTTCTGAGGCATTTGTAGTAGGCTTTAAAAATATAACAGTAAGGCCAGCTCTGGTGGCCTAGTGGCAAGAAGCTATACTGCAATCCCAGAAGTGCATAGCTCGAATCCACCAGATGCTCTGCTGGAGAAGGATGGACAATCTCCTCCCAGACCAGTCAGATCTGATTTGACGGTACACATACACAAGATAATAAATTTTTTTTAAAAATAACAATGATAATGTTTTCCCCTGTTGCCATGAAAAAATTATTTTGAGGCATCAATAGACTGGCTACAAAATAAGCCAGGAGTTCATTCACTCAGTTATTCCTCCAACGCTTTAAAATGCAGATTCTAATCTCTATTTTGCAGACTTTATTGGCACAAATATGAATGAGACAGTATTGATCCAAGAGCCTAAGATTAAAAATCCTAAGTATGATATTGAGGCTTTGCTTCATATCTCAGCAAGAGAAGTCAGTCCCTCCAAAAAAGGGTATCAAGGTTGGAAAATCAGAGGTGATTAAAAGAGAGGAAGACCCTCAATGAGACATATTGAGACAAGGCCACTATTGCCTCAAGGAAATCTAAATAACAACTTTAAATGTTTCTTGCTGCAGGTAATGAGAGACTGACTTACTTACATTTCATATGAAAAAATTAACTCATTGCTGTCAAGTCATAGTCAGCTCACAGGTGACCCGCTAGTGCATTTTCATGTTGAAAGAGATTATCTTTCTCCCGTGCTGGTAGATTCTAACTGCAGCACTCTGGTAGCCTAGTAATAAGTAGCTGCACTGTCAACGCAAAGGCACACAGTTTGAATCCATCAGTTGCTGCAAGGGAGAAAGATGGACAATAAACTCCCATATTATTTACTGTCTCTGAAAACCTGCTGGAGGATCAGCTCTGAGTTGGCTCCTTGATGAGACACAACAACAACAGGCCATAGACCACTAGAGCTCACTGGTATTTTCCTATGTTGTTGTTGTTGTGTACTGTTGAATTGGGATAGACTAATAGCTGACCCTCCTGTGGGTTTTCATAAATAATTAATTGCACAGGAGGAGAGTGCCCACCTTTCTTCCACAGAGATCACTCTAATACATTGTGATACTTAGAGTAGGACAGCCACACATCAACAGTTATGGGAACGTAGAAGAGAGGCATGCAATATATTGGTTGGATTTTATGAAAGAGTAAAATAGCCATGTAGAGTAAAAGGGGCATGTCAGGCAGTATAAGACATGAGATACATAAGAGAATGGTCCTGTAAGAACCAATATATATGGTACCAAAAAGAAATGATTGACATTGAAAAATTTCAGGAAGTACAATATAAGCAGGAGCCAGCTGTGATGAAAGAAGACGCTGAAGCTGGCCTGAAGGCACAGGCAAAAATTAACATACCAGGAATTGCCGGGATATCAATTGACATGTTTTAACTTACACAGGCAGCCCTGTCAAATTTTCTGTAACTTTCACTAAGATGACAATTTAAAAAAATAAAATATATATTTTAACATTAAAAAATAATTAAAAAATAATTTCAGACAGTCTTTACTGCAGAAATTTTTAAAAGTTAGTGGGGAGGAAGGAAAATATACACAAGGAATAAATGAAAACCCAACCTTGCTATAAACTTTTGTTAAAATCACAATTTAAAAAAGTAAAAAGAGAGATTTAGGGGAGACGAGTAAGCAGACCTTCAGAGGAGAACAGATTTATTTAATTTTTCTGTCTCACTTCTGTAGAACTATGTGGGCATCATTCCTGAGAAGTTAGGCACTTTTGTTCCCTAATGTGTTGCCATCAGTTCTCAAATATTAATCCTGAGTTCTTCCTTAGTCTTCACTTGCTTCTCCCATCTCACTGCTGTGGAGGGGGAACCAACTCCCAGCTGACCCTCCAGCATGTTTCCAAGGCTGTAAATCACATGGGAGGAGATTGCCCATCTTCCGCTTCAGAGGAGCTGGTGGGTTCGAACTACGAGGGAGGTACAGCTTTGGGGTTAGCAGTGCACCTCTCTGCAGACTCCACCACCAGGGCTCCCTCTTGACTTAATTTCCAGAAAATAAGATAACTCACTGCCATCAACTTGGAACTGACCCATAGCTGACCCTCCAGTGTGTTTCCTCGACTGTAACTTGCACCCGAGGTCCATATTTCTTCCACAGAGCTGCTGGTGCATTCAAACCTCTAGGGAGGCACTGCCTTTGTTTAGCATCACATTTCTCCATGGACTACAGGGCCAGAGATCCCGCTAGACCTTGGTGTTGTTAGGTGACTTGATACTCTTTACCAAAACATCGCACAGGTAAAGCAATTTCACCAACAACCACAATTACTAAAACTAGATGTTTTTCCAACAATTCCTCCTATTAGCTTTTTTAGTTGTTTATAAATCCACTTTTTTCACTCAATAGTCTTTAAGCATGAATCTATGTTTAGCATTTACTACAAGCTGCATGTGATATTAATCAATGATTTCCACCACCTGGCCAACTGACTGGAAGAAATCCATATTTGTTTCCATTCCATAGAAAGGTGACCCAACAGTGTGTGGAAATCATTGATTAATATCACATGCAAGCAAGATTCTGGTGAAAACTTATCCAAAAACAACTGGAACTGCCAGAAGTCCAAGCTGGGTTTAGAAGAGGCTGTGGTATTAGGGATATTATAGCTAATGTTAGATGGATCATGGCAGAAAGCAGAGAATACCAGAGGAATGTTTAGTTGTGTTTCATTCACTATGTAAAGGCATTTGACACAACAAACTGTGGCTGACCCTGAGAAGAATGGAAATCCCAGAAAACCTGACTGTGCTTATGGGAAACCTATACTTGGACCAGGAGGCAGTCATCAGAACAGAGCAAGGAAACGTTGCATGGTTCAAAATCAGGAAGGGTATATGCCAGCGAAGTGTCCTATCTCCACACTTTTCAATCTTATGCAGAACAGATCATCTGGGAGGCTGAGCTGCATGTGGAGAAATATGGCATCAGGATTGGAGGAAGACTCATCAACAACCTGCATTATGCAGATGACACAACCCTGCTTGCTGAAATTGAGGAGGACCTGAAACACTTGCTGCAGAAGATCAAGAACTTCAGCCTTAAGTATGGATTGAAGCTCAACATCAAGAAAACAAAGATTCTCATCACTGGGCAAATGGGGAGCATCATGATTGGTGGCAAAGACACTGAGATTGTTAACAGCTGCATTTTGCTTGGCTCCACAATCAACACTGTTGGTACCAGCCGCCAGGAAATGAAAAGATGAATAGCACTGGGAAAGTCTGCTATTAGGGATCTCTCCAGAGTACAGAAGACCAATGATGTCAGTCTGGAGACTAAGGTGCACTGATCCAGGCCACAGTCTTGGCAATATTTTGCTATGTGTCAGAAAGCTGGACAATGACTAGGGATGACAGGAGGAGAAGTGGTGCCTTTGAGCTGTCATGCTGGAGAAGAATATTAAGTATGTCATGGACTGCTAGGAGAACAAACAGGTTCGTCTTAGAGAGGGTGAAGTCAGGCTGCTCCTTGGAGGCAAGGATTCTGAAGCTTTGTCTGACATACTTTGAAAATGTTACAAGAAAGGATGAGTCCTTGGAGAGGGACGTCATGCTTGGGATGGTGGGGAGACAGCACAAGAGAGGAAGACCCTGGATGAAAAGGATTGATTCAGTCACTGGGATAATGGGGGTAGGTGTGTCAGAGACAATAAGATTGGCACAAGATAGAGCAGGGTTTAGAGCTGTTGTACATAGGTTTGCAATGAATCATAAGCAACATGACAGCACATAAAAACAACAGCATGGTCTAAAATGAGAAAAGGTATATATCAGGGTAGTATCTTTCACCTTACCTAGTCAACCTATGTGGTGAACAAAAATAATCAGATAAACTAGATTAGATAAAGAATGTGGTGTTAGGATTAGAGAAAGACTCATCAGTAACCTACATCATCCAAATGACACAACCTTACTTGTTGACAGTAAAGAGGGCTTGAAGCACTCGCTGAAGAAGATCAAAGATTACAGTTTAGTATGTTCAGTATGGACTGAAATGTAGCATTGAGACAACAAAATCCTCACTACTGGATTAGTAAGCACCATCATGATAAATGGAGAAAAGATTAAAGGTGTCAATGATTTAATTTTACATAGATCCATAAACAACATCCAGGGCAGCAGCGTTCAAGAAATCAAATCAAACTATTCTGAGGAAATCTGTTGTCAATGTTCTCTTTAAAGTTTTAAAGAGCAAGACTATCAGTTGAAAGACTCGAGTGCACCTCATTCAAGCCATGGCATTTTATTATAGATACTTATGAAAGTTTGACAATAGAGAAGGCCAGCACATTGATTTCTTTAAACATGGGTGATGTTAAAAAATGTTGACTATCTCATGGATGGCCAAAACAAACATACCTGCTTTGGAGGAAGTGCACCTGGGTTGCTTTCTAGAAGCAAAGCTCGTGAAACTTACTACATACATTGGGCTGGTCTTTTTTGAAAAAGACATAATGCTGGCAAAACGAGAGAGTGAGCAAAGGAGAGGAAGATCCTTAACAAGATAGAGTAACAGAGTAACTACAACGTTGGGTTTAGGCATAGCAGAGACTGTGAAGATAGACTAGCACTGGGCAAGGTTTTCTTCTTGTTCCTAGGATCCCTGAGCTGGAGCAGACTCCAGAGCCTCTAACAACGATGGGTTTGAAAATCAATGTCAATTCCTGACATCCTAAGGAGGATACATACACTTGCTGACATTTTTCCCATATGTTATCATCTCTCACAGCTCGAATTAATCTGAGAATTTGCCTCTCAGAACAATATGTCTTTGTCTTTTAGGTTGAAAAACTGCTCTAACATCTCCTTATCATTCCAGATTGATCTCACGACAATCTTGACGATCATGCTACTTCCTCACATTTTCTCCACAGATCCACCAGTCCAAGAACTTTACACATCTAGTTTGTTCTTGAAATTGCTGGACACCTCACTACCTCCTCTTTCCTCAGCCACGTTTACTGCTTCTCAGATACTGGAATTTAAAATCTGCAAAATGTCCAGGTAACCAGAATGAGAGTGTATATACTGGGTTAGTACTTCAATACTTTTCTTTTTTTTTTCAAAGAAGGACTAAAAACTAACCACCATCAGGTATTGTCAGCAACTTCACAAAAAAGAATGTATCTTAACAATGAAAAAAAGAGGAAAAACATCTCAAAAGATAGATTGTTTCAACTAATCCATCATCACTGCCGCATGCCATGGTCCAAATTCTGACTCATAAATCAATTTAACTAGAAATTTTTTTTGGGGTGGTTGGCTAATTTTCTATTTCTCAGCTCTTCCACAATAACTGTCATGGTTAGCCAAGCCACCATCATTTCTTATCTCTATTAACACATTAGTCTCCTAACTTCTGTCCCTGCTTCTGTCATTGCTCTCACCACCCCATCTCCACTTCAGTCTGTTCACAAACAGCAGCTAGAGGATTCTCTTTATTAGAAAGTTGTTCAAACCCTCCACTGGCTTTTTTGGTGAAGTATCCATTAACAATGGCATATAGGATATGTCTTGAAGAAAGTGGAGCCAGACTGCTCCGTGAAGGCAAGAATCAGGAAACTTAGTTTCACATACTTTGGGCATGTTGCTAGGAGAGGCTCTATTCCTTGGAAAAAGATATTGTCCTTGGAAAGGTGGAGGGATGATAAAGAAAAGGTAGATCTCAACCAAGTGGGCTGACACAGCGACTACAGCAATGAACTCAAGTGTGTCAGAGATTATGAGGTTGGCACAGGTTAGTACAGGATTCAGATCTGTTGTTCATAGGGTCTCTATGGGTCTTACTCAACTCTACAGCACCTAACAGCAGAATTGAACTCAACTTGAGGGCACCTAACAACAACAGAACTTCTTTCTTACCTGTTGTTGTTGTTGTTAAAACTCAAGCTCATTGCCACTGAGCTGTAACCAACTCTTGGCTGACCCTCCAGAAGGTATTTGGAAGCGGTGAATAAATCACACAGGCAGAGATTGCCATCTTTCACCCCCAGAGCAGCTGGTGGGTTTGAACCAGGAGAAGCACAGGCTCTGGTTAGCAGTACAACTACATATGGACTATGCCACCCTAGCCCCCTCCTACCTCTATAGATTAGTGTTCTTCCATTGAAATATAATGCATGCTGTGTAAAAACTCTCCTTTTCAAGTACATTTAAACCTAAGATTTCAAGTCTTTTTTTCCATTAAGATCTTACTTTTCTATTTTCTCTCAAGACTTTGTAGTTTTAGCTCTTACATTTAAGTCTCTGATTAAATGGGGGCTAATCTTTGTGTCCTGTGTCAAGGCACAGGTCAGAGCAGAGTTTAGGGCTGTTCTACATAGGGTCGCTATGAGTCGCAAACGACTCGACGGCACATAGCAACAACAACAATCTTTGTCTATGGTATCAAGCAGGGGTCTAGCTTCATTTACTCTTTTGCATGTAAACATTCAATTGTCACATTTCTTTAAACTATTCTTTATTCACTGGGAGCTCTGCTGGTCTATTGGTAAGACGCTGCATTCCCTAAGGCACGTGTTCAAATTCACTAGTTGCTCCATGGGAGAAAGATGGGCAATCTCCTCCTGTGCGATTACGGCCTCTGAAAACCCATCTGAGTGTCAGCTATGGATCAGTTCCAACTCAAAGGTACACAAAAACAACAACATACTAAAAATATTGTAATCTCTTATCTAGTCTTTTTTCTTTTCTTGTTATGTACCATCAAGTCAGATCTGATTGGCAGAGGAGGAGATTGCCCTCCTTCTCCAGCGGAGCATCAAACCCCATGCCTTCAGGGTTGCAATGCAGCTTCTTGCCACTAGGCCACTAGAGCTCCCTTCAAAATATGGTCATCTCAACATGTACTCATATAAAAATGTATTGAGTGGATAAAGATAACTAGATACCTAAAAGAGCCAAACTCATTAAGACTACCTTGTTTTTCTGAATCTCACATTTTTTTTCTTTTTCTTCCTTTGGCAGGCTGCAGTCTTGTGACTTTTCTACCATTCTCTGTTATCAGAAAGCGTTTGAGTTCTTCTTTGACAGGTTTCTGCTTCCTCCTTTTTCCCTTGACTTCTTTCCTTTCCCTGACTCACACAGCATCTCTCCCATCTCAGAGCTCTGAGGTACTCTCCATAGTTACCCACCAAGCTCACAATGCCCAAAACACCTTCTGATAGAATTTGAGTATCTCTGCCTCAAGAAGGATTTCCTAGGCCACTTGTAAACAATCAATACCTTCTCTCAATCTTCTCCACAAACCAACTCCCTATCTCATGTTCTATTTTTTTCTGTATGTAACACTACCCAACAAAGGCATATTTTGCTTACAAAGTTAAACAGTGCAGCCTATTTGTTTATCGTCCTTTGTTCAGGAGGCTCATGTTTTTCTGCTTAATCCTCAGATCTGCACCAGAACAATGTCTGGTAGACAGCAGATACCCTAAAGTTTCCTGAGTAAATGCATTTCAGAGAAAATTCTGTACCAACCAACATTGGGTATTTCAAGTCATCAATCTGACAAATTTATTCACCTTTGAATTTTAGCTTAAACTGCACTTTATCAAAGAACAACACATTTTTATGTCTACTACATGCAAGAAACGGCACTAAATCTTTATGCACATTGCCTCATTAAGTCCTCTTCCAGCCCTTTATAGTGGGTACTATAGTAGGCTATTATTTTTTGCATGTTAATTTCAAACATAAAATATTCTTAAGAATGAAAACTGATTTATAATTGCTGAGTCAGACCAATTCTATGGCAGTGGATAAATTCTCCTATGTCCAACTACCAAGTTAAACATTACATTTCTTTTACAACAAGTAATGCAAAGTTTGATGACGCAAAATCTTTTTTTTCCAATGGGAGTACTTTGAAGCTGGCTATTATCAGTAAACTATGTTACACAGGAGTTAGGTCATTTAAGCAGACTTTGTACTGTTGTTTTATCCATGAACCTGAAGATTTGGAAAGCTGAGCTGACCAATGAGAGGCAGAGCACAGACTTAGCCAGATTCTACCACTTTGATAAGCTCAACATGGCATGGGCTCTCTTACCTATAATGGTCCCATAGCCTCTGTATCTTCTGCCGCACATGTAATTACTTCAGATCTATTTTCCCTACTGGACTGAAGGCAGGAACCCTGTCTATCCTGTTTGCCACTGTGTCCCTCACACCTACGTTGATACTCATTAAACAGTTTTTGACAGGTGCCTCAGTCACACACAGGTAAGCAAGCATTGCATGTGACGTTACACCCTCTGAAATGAATTCTTGTTTATAGCATTGGATGTAACCTAATATGTATGGGTTAGGCAGTGCTTTGATCTGTCAGGTGAAAAAAGCAGGTGCATGTCTACAAGTGGACATCCAAACGGAAAGAACTTCTGGCCCTTTCTTCCCTAAGCCCACACCTGCCCTAGGTTTAAAAAAAAAAAATTACACCAAAGATCTTTTCTTTGTCTTTTATTGTTCTTACTTAAAAGTGATTTAAAGGATTCTGTTGGGTTTTGTTTGGGATAATCTTTTAAATCCACTTATATCAATAACTGTAGGGTTATTTAATAGGTACAAGCCTTTACTCTTTTACTAGACCAGCTAAAACAACTGCTTTGCCCAGATGATTAGCATAGAAAGATCAAAGAAACAAGGTTTAGGAGGAGATTACAAATTATTTTCAGTGCAGAAGTGAGGATAAATTTACAACATCAAGTGACAAGAAGACAGTTGCTAGGAAGCTTACATCCTGTCTCTCAGTTCATCATATGATCATAAACAAGAAAACATTCACATCTATCCTCCATCTGTAAAATTATCATAAAGGTAATTTTTCCTACATCCTTTACAGAGATGCTGTAAAGGGTTCCTTCTTGCAAAACACAGAAATATCCACAGAAGAAAGTCACCAAAAAAGCAAAACCAAAGTAAGCGTTATTACCTTATTGATGTCCCACAAAACAAGTTTGCTTTTAAGTTTGGAAAATTCATAGGCAGTCAGTCTTCCAATTCCATGTCCAGCTCCAGTAATCAGTACGATTTCTCCAACGACAGATTTCCTCTTCTTAGGAATAAAAAGCTTCGCGAACGATTCTAAGAGGCAGATGAGGAGTACCGGCAGAAGCAGAAGGCTCCTTAAGAAGAATTTTAGCATTTTGTTGCCCCGAGCTTTGCTCTGTTACCCTGCACCAAATCACTCAAAATTGCTTTAGATAGTTTGGCACCGAAATTCGCGTCAACACAAGAGCTTAAAAGGCTAGTAATCAAAAAGAAACTAACAACTCAGGACCGTTCCTTCCGCTGGGCTGGGCTTTGTGAGGGCTCCCGCAATTGGCTCAGGCTGCGCCGAAGGATCGCCAGCTCAGAAATCTGGGAGGGACAAAAGCCTGATCCAGGCTCACTTCTTAGTGCTCTCTGGCTGAACCCTAGCGATCTTTGGGTCCTAGATAACCTTTAGCCCACTTCTCCTCTGCTTGATAAACCTGATCATGGAAGGTTAATTGCACACACACTTCTTTTAGTCAATTTCATAAATCTCTGTTTGTTTCAAGGATAACCAGGTTCCTCCACCACGGATGCTTTTCTGAAACTTGATGGTTGTCTTAACTCTATGTCTTGAGATCCTGAGAAGGTCAATTGTCATGACCTTCATAGCAGAGAAATGACGCTATGCTTTTACCTTGAATTAAGCACACTTACTGGAGGAGCGAAGACATTTTTGTCGTTGTGCTAAAAGCTCTAAGTCACCAGAAAAGTCGGATCATATTTATTTTCTTAGATAGAATTGCTTCCAGAAGAAAGAGCAGTATATTTGGATATTTTTCCTTCCATTGGAAAAAAAAAAAAAGATATTTTGGCAACTAACAAGGAAAGAATTGACATGTACAAGTTAGCCTCTAAAATGGTGAGAAAATAAATATCTATGCTTAGAAATTGTAGAAAGTATTATCCTAAAAAAAAAAATATAAGGATTTTTCTAGAGTTTCTCTTTACGGCGCTCTGGTGGCATAGTTCTTTCTGTAGGGAGTCATCCTACTGACTTAAAGGCTTTGCCTTTTTGATAGTTGATTTCTCCAGCTAGTCAGCACCAGAAAGATGGACAATCTCTTCCTTTGTAAACCAACTACAATCTCCCAAAACCCTTTCGGAAGGTCAGCTATGAGTTGGTTCCCACCCCAAGGCAAATGAGTTTAGAGTTGAGCTTTATTTATTCATATGATCCACTAAGCAATTGTAAGGATTGAAAAATCACTGCCTTCAGGGTAAATAATAAAACAGAAGGATTATCACTTGGTTCTAGAGATGACACAGCTCACTTTTTTATGTCTCCCACACACTCACAGGCTTAGAATGGATTCCAACTCACAGCTATTCTCTGCTGGTTTCTTTCCCCAACAGTAAATCCTAAGGAGGTGATCCTGCCCAGCTTTCTCTGAGAGGTCCCTGCAGGATTCCAATGGCAGAGGAGGGGCCTTTGGATTCATAGCATGATGCCACCAGAGCTCTCTGGGTTTGCTGTGGTTTTTAGATGCCTTCAGTTACTAGGACTCATAGCAATCTCATGAGCAACAGAGCTAAATCTTGGTCTTGTTCTGGAAACTGAGTCAACAGTGGAGCTGGCACTATATTGAAGAGTCAGTCCACATAAGTCCTCCATTATCTACCAGTGAGCTCTGGCGGCCTAGTGGTAAGGATTTCACCAGCAGGACAAAGGATAAGCAGTTTGAATCCAGTGGCTACTCTGAAGAAGAAACATGGGCAATCTCTTGAAATGCTGTTTTGAGTGTCTGAAAACCTGCTCCAAGTTCAGCTATGGATCACTTTAAACTTGAAGGCATATAACAACAAGATGGAGATTTTCCCGAGAGCTCTGGTAGTTGGACTCTCAACCCAAAGATGGACAGTTCGAGTGCACCAGCTTCTCCGTGGAAGAAAGGTGAGCAATCTCTCCCCATGATTTATTGCCTTTGAAAACCCACTGGTAAGTCACCTATGCATCAGTTTTGAGAAGATAATAATGGATCTGGGGTTTTGAAACCATAAAAAATATGAAAAAATAGCAATTAGGGAATAAATGTTATCATTTGTGGCCTTTCAGTCAAGTCAGGGGCATAATTCCTTTCTGTCTTTGCAAACACTTGAAGGGTTGCCTGTGAGGTATCATGTTTAGTTCTTTAATCAGTAATAACTGTTTTCTTACTGTTTTGTTTTTGTGGAGGTGTTTTTCTAGGTTAGAAGTAGGTTTTATTTTAATTGTCTTTCCCTAAAAACTTCCATATTCAAGTTTGTGAGAGAATAAACATTTACACTTTACAAACATTTGTAAAGAAAATGACATTTTCCAAAGTTTTCCTCTCCCATATGTATTATATTTTCAAATATCTTCTAGAAAATAGTTATAACCCTGTTTTATAAACAAATCAGTTACATTGTTGTGTTTGTTGGTTTTGGGTTTTTTAAATTACCACAGTAAGTAAAAGAAAAACTGGGGTTGGACACATGGCTTAAAGCTAAGACGCTTATATTCAACAGCTACAGGATTAAATGACCTTACTTGAAAACCTAATAAAAGCACTTGCTTTTATTGATTTTGCCTTCATATAGACAGAGACTTTATAGCTCCTATTTTATGTTCCACCTTATTAAAAATGAAGTTATAGTTACCACTACTTGTGTGTCAATTTCATTGTACTGTGGTAGATTACATTCTGTCTTGGTGCTAGAGTCTATGCCACCAACATGTCAAGCACCAACAGAGTCACCCTTGATGGACAGGTTTCAGTGGAACTTCAAGGGAGTAGGTCAAGATACACTGAAGATATTTTAAAAAACTTATGGAGTTAAAGATGGCACTAAATAATAAAATAGGGTATGTTGTTGTTTATAGTCAATTCAGAACTGACTCATAGCTGAACCTCCAGCAGGTATTCAAAGACTATAAATCTCACAGGAGGAGACTGTCCATTGTTCTCCTTTGGAGAAGCTGGTGGATTCAAACCTTATGCCTTTGATTTGGTAGCACAATTCTTAGAAACGTTCAGAATACTCCTTGGCATGATAAACTATACGTGTATGACCAAGAGTCTCCAGCAAGAAATTTTGAAAGTCAGCATTCTAGTTTATACTAACAAAAGCTTCTGAATTGAAAGACATAATTCATTAACACTTATCAATAATTTTAGGTTATAAGGAATAGTTTTTATATAATTCTTACATTTTCTGTGCCCCTGGGGGACATAGAAAGTGAAAATATTGTATAAGTAAGGGAAGACACTTATCTTACACTTGTAAGAGAAGGAAAATAACTAGCATCTAATGAGTTAAACCTTTGTAATGATTTTAAGGGGGTTTAGAGCTGATCAAGGGAAAAAGATACACATGCTCATGAGATAACAGCCTAGTGGATTGTCATATTTGTTGAACTGAGGCATTGAAAATGCCTGCAGTTGGAGGGGGTGCCCAATATCAGAAGATCATTTGTACGTAAGCAAATCAAGAGACCACCAGAAATGGAAAAGGTAAAGAAAACACCCCAGGGAAGAAAAGAAGTGAAGTGTCTAGAAAATCCTTTTACAAAAAGGTGGAAAGTCTATGGGTCAGAGAGCTCCAAAGGCTAGCAGACCTCTGGGTTTTGTCTTATGTATGGCCAAGAGACTTTATCTCATGTACTTTGAACATATTGTTAAGATGGCCAGTCCCTAGAGAGGAGTTCTGATGGACTAGGAGATAGCAAGTTATGCTGCCAACCCAAAGACAGGGGTTATGCCAGCTGCTCTGCTGGAGAAAAATTGTCATTCTCCTTCTGTGGGACTTATAGCCTCATAAAACCCCTTTGAAGGTCAACAGCAAGCCCATCCAAACTTGATAGCAGTGGATTTTTAAAAAATTATTATTAAATTGTATTCGTTTTAATGAACATTTACAGAGATTTGGGGTTTTTGTTCATTCATTGTTGCACTGTTTTCTCTACCCTCCTCCCCAGTTCGTTCTTCTTTCCCCTCCCCCTGAATGTCTGTTTTAATTGTCCAATTGCCACAGTGCTTGTCAAAGCCAGTTCTGATTAATCTCCTTTGTCAGTGGGTCCTTTGTCATTCCCTATCACTCCTCTCTGAGAGAGACTTCACCCTGATCCATAAGGAAAAGGGGATGGCGTATTCTCTTAGCTACTTCCTGAGCAGTGGATTTTTTTTTT